GGAAGCGTCTGGACATGTGGTCATTCCAGGTTCCCTACCCTAACCCTAACCCTAACCCTAACCCCGATAAGACCGTGGAAGCTAACCCGAGGGTAATGCTAATACTTCCATGGAAGCTGCCCTAAACCTGTTTTGAATAGCTGCCATGGAAGCCTAAGGTTCGACTTCCATGAAGGCTTCTCCACTTCCGTGGGGTTTCCATGGGACTTCCGAACTTCCATGGCAGTGGCACATCTATATTCATATCTTCAGTTCCATGTAACTGAATATCGCTTCCATGGACGTGTCGTTTCGCGCTTCGCTTGGAAGCGCGAAACGTGTGTAGCTTCCATGGAACTGGTATCAGCTTCCATGGAAGATGCATACTTTCATGGAAGCGGTACACATTTGTCAATAGTGTGGGAGATCGGACCCGGTTGTGGCCTCTCAAGGCTAGACGGATGCGGTATAAATAGTCTAAACGTCCATCAACCAATGTTTCATTGTGTGAGCAAATTTGTTTTGTGCTGTTGCAGCACACGTGAGATGGCTATCGCTTCTTCCGTGAGTTTTTTCGCCTGATCTGAAAATCCATCACTGAAACTGGACGGTATGATAACTCGATTGGCTGGGGCAGACAAACAGTAGTCCCGAGGGATTTTGGTATCCGTGACACCGCCAAATTGTGAGTGGTGTAATGACGTGCGGTACTTGTGGTTGTCTTGGTAATGTGCGTGAAAGGTTAGTCGTTGATCCTCGATGCAGCTGAATACATCGATGAGGCATTCGCCCACCAAAGGACCAAGGACCAAGTTGTTAAAATTGGGGTTTCCCGCACCAACAACTGTGTTACCAATTGTGCGGGTGTGATTTTATTCCCAGTTGTGCTTTGCATGGCAACGTGCAGCCGGATGCCCTGCCTTGTGGGAAAAGCAATGGGAACGAATACGGCAAATAGTCAAGTCCGTGTCGTAAACGTTTTTCTCGCCGATGAGTGTCCTAGCTGGTCATTGCTGCTCTGCCACGTGGCATGAGCCCTTTAGGGCGTGTGCCTACGGCCATTATTTGGAGCATCAGGTGACGAAAAATTCAACGAGTTGGATATCGGTTCTAGGTCGGCCTAAGGCGACAGGCGTAGAAAAAGAATAAATTTTTCGGATTTTGGCGAGTTAGTGTTTTCCTACAGATAAATGTATTGCAATGCAGAAATTACATTTCTGATGATATTGCGATGGTTGTGTAACCATGCTAGTTTTGTTGTGAGTGGGGGAAAAGAAATGAAACAGATGTTTATCAGACATATGGAGGAGGAGTATAAATGTTCGGTACCAATAGAAAGGAAGTAGAATATGTGACTGTGTTTGTTTCACATCGCACGCACCGCTTGCTCGTTGCAGCTGTCAAGCGGCCAATATAAGGCGAAACCTGTTGTAAAGCCGTGTTCGTATCTTCGCCATCATGGCTTTATCGAGTTCACCGTAGCCGTAGTTGGGATCGTGCACTAGCCATTGAACGTTAGAATGCGAGCTTTCCCTCACTGAAGTGGTAAGTCCTGAAATGTATTCGGGGATGGAGAGGGCAACGTCGATAAGAATGGAGGTTACATTTTCAATGATAATCAACGCTTTTAGCAAGTAACGTAGTAGGTCGATCGGCGTATTGCGCGGTGTGTTGACATACACACAATACGTTGAACATGTTTACACTGTGGACGGTGGTAGTAATGGAAAGTAGAAATAAAGCACCTTACCTTCCTTGGACGGACATCAGAGATGGTTACCAAACATCCGTTTTAGTTCTCCGTCTTTGATATTCACTGACGCGAAGTTGGAACGGCAATTGTGCGCCCGGGATTCTTTGAGAAACTTTTGTGCGGATGGATGAGCGGATGTAATTTGAAAAGGTCTTGGAGAATGCGCGGCAGGGGTGGTAGTCGTGGAAGAACGTCCTTCAAATTTTTGCAGCATGTCCCTTTGGACTGCTCGGCGAACAGCACATGTGGCTCCGCAATGTTTGCAAGGGTCAGCGCGTTCCACCGTTATACCCATTTCGTCGCACGCATAAAGGAGTGCTTCACGTAATGACGGTGTTCAGACGCGATATATATCTCCGCGAAAGCATGATGTTGTGGATCGTCGATGCAGTTCCTGGAGAACGTTGCGAACTCATCAACATGTCGTCCAGACGATCCCTCTTCGCCGCAAAAATATCAGATCTGCGTTTATTCTGATGGGTTTGACGTTTCCTGTTGGAGGATGGTTTGGGCTGGGTGGCGCTGAGTCGTGTCCCCGTGTTCATGGCGCAGCACTTTCGTTCGGTTGTCGTGCGCGTCCCCTCTTCGCATTTACAAACAATTTGTTCCGAGCATGACATGCACGATTTTGGTCGTTCTTGGGCAAATCGCTGTCGTCCATTCATTGTTTGTCCTCTTTGTTTGTTCTGTCCGTCCGAACAGCAATAGCTCGGAGATGTCAAAGTGTAGTGTAGATGTTATTGACAGTGGTGGTTGCGAGAACAGTGCAGAACTCTAGTTTGCACGTGTTGCAGCAGTGGACACGTACAATACTCGGGCCGACTTTGCGGTACTTGTTTGTTTACATTCGCGAAGGCGGTCTGCAAATCGTGCTCTTGATTGTTGATTCGTTGGACGAGGACACGCTTGCTTGTGATGCTGTTGGCGGGTGACCCTCACATAAGAGTCCGCTGCATGTCTGCTACCCACATTCAAATCCTGCTGCACAACGGTATACAGAAGCGTGGACTGTGTGCGTGATACAGAATTACAAGCTGAGTACCCTCGTCGTCGTAATGTACACGATGGGTGCATGTTGCGTGGGACAGCACCTGCTTGGGACAGCAGCAGCAACAGTGCATAGACTGACATTCCTGGACGCTATGCACGTCGACGAGTTACCATTACCTGCAGTGACAAACACATAACCGCCTGCGGCATCGCAAAGGGACGGTAAGAGGTTGTGTGTATCATACAATCTCGCTCGTGAATCGCTTTATGTATCTGGTGTCCTTCGACGCTGTATTGTTGTTGTGCACATCACACGCTACAAGATACACACTACAGGTTGTCCTGTGTGTCTCAGCCCCAGTGACCTGCGATGACACACCGGCAGAAGGGCAAATGTTCGCTATACAACCGTCAGCGGGAAGCTGTGTGGATCGCGCAATTACCGTTTTAACGTCAACACAGACCTCGGGTGTTGTTCACTCATCACGCATGCATACCTTCAAAAAAAATCCAAGAAACGCCCATGGGTCAACTACCTTCAGATGCTGAAGGTAAAAGAGTTCTACTGCCATTAGGTTGAGATAAAAAACATTAAAAGCTAGTACAATAGTCTAACGGAGTAACATGCGGTAAAAAATGCTGCAATACTTCCTAACCAATAGGCGAAGTGTGACGCGCTAGAATACGCAGCATAACCTACTTCAAGAATTACAGCTTTTGAATAAAATCCTGTAAGAAAAGGCATACCCATAACACCAAGAAGCATTGAAAAATTGTGTGAAAAAAATCCTTCAGTATTTTCTAGTAGTGCGTCCGACGACGACAATCCTATAAATAATATACTTTACTTGATCTGCTTGTACATTGGGCACCACAATATTTGTCCTGGAATTTCCTGACGACTCTCACCTGCTTCTGCAACAAGGCCGCCCAGTTGTTGAGCGTTTTCGCTACAGCAGGGTGCTCAGGCCCCAGTGCCTTTTCGAGGGTGGCAAGGGAACGCTTGTACAAGCTCCCCGCCTCATCGCAGTTGCCCTGGAATGTGTTGAATTGCGTGAAAGAAATGTGGTCAACATAAAACCTGGGGAGGAAGCTTCTCAACTACTCTCAGCCGTGCCCGATGGTTGAACACAACATAAATTATCCCCAGCGCCCCACCACAATTTCCTGGCGTATTCTGACGAATCTCACCAGCTCCTGCAACAACAGCGCCCGGTTGTTGAGCGACTGAGCCACGTCAGGGTGATCAGGCCCCAGTGCGTTTTGTCGGATTCCGAGGGAACGCTCATATAACGGCCCGGCTTGATCGTAGTGGCCCTGGGATGTCGTGAAAAGTGTGAAAGGAATGTGGTCAAGTGAAAAGATGCGGAGGAAACTTTTCTCAAGCAACCGCGCCTGTTGGTGGTGGAATCTCTATCGGGTACGTACGCCACAAAAGAATTGATATCGAGCCTCACACCTGCTCTCTCAGCAACTCCGCCCGGGTGTTGAGCCATTTGGCAAGCGTTGGGTGCTCAGGGCCCAATGTTTTCTCCCCAATCTCAATGGCGCGAAGGTTGAAGCGGACAGCCTCGGCGTATTTGCCCTGAAAGCAGCAGGTGATGGCGCGGCAGAGTCATCGCACGTGGATGATTGCACCTCGTTGAGAGCGAGCTGGTCAACGCCAAGTGCAGTGGGAATTTCAACTTCGCTGATGTCATGCGTAAGCCGGGCACCGGATGAACAGTTTCAAATTGAGCGTGCACATCCTACAGATATTGGCATGGACAGAGGCGGCGTAGACCTTTGGACTAACGTCTGGGGGGTTGCCGTGCTGACAACTTCGCTCGGAAGTGCCGTTTCGATACTTTGGCTACCTGCGCCTTCTTTGTGGTGGCGGTACCTTGGGTGCTTTGAAGCGTAGCGAGGTACGTACCGTAATCAGGATCTGGAAATCGGCACGTCACGATGGTGGAAGTAGTTTGATACCTTGAACGATGTTGGGGCATTTCTGACGTTGTCAAGGTCAGCACAACGAAAAGACACATCTGACACCTTGAAATCCATTCGCCCAAAGGGGTACATTCGTCTACCAGCAAAGTTTCGGTCACAGTCGTCAAAAAACATGAGGGAAAATAATCTCGACGACCGAGCTCAGTCATTTGGGTGTCGTGGCTAAACTTGAGTGCTCAGAGTCTAGAACCTCCTCTCTATCACCTCACACTGGCCCAGCCTCCGCGTATTTACGCTGGACGCAATGTGAGTGCAGTCGAGTAAGATCTAGGGAGGAACTGTTCTCTCAGCAAGCCTGCCCGGTTCGTTGACCACTGCCATAGGGTGACACAAAACGTTCGTGGAAAAGTTCCGTCGGGTTTCACCTGCTCTCTCGACAACTCCGCCCGGTTGTTGAGCGTTTTGGCCACATCTGGGTGTTCAGGGCCGAGAACCTTGTCGATTCGTTCGCACCGCTCATAGAGCGCGTCGGCCGCGTCGTACTTTCCCTGGGATGCAGTGGGCAGCGTAGCAGAGCCAACAACAAGTGACAGTCGGATCCAATTCTGCGGAGAAACGTTGCTTCAACAACTCCGCCCCGGTTGATGAGTATAGTACTCAACGTCCACAGGGCGCACCACTTAATAATGTTCGTGCGTCTCTTTTGTACGGCTCTCACCTGACCCTTGAACAAGTGCGCCAGGTTGTTGAGCGACGTACCCACGTCCGGGTGCTCAGGGCCTAGCACCTTCTCACGAATGTCGAGGGAACGCTCATACAGCCGCCGGGCCTCCTCATACTTGCCCTAAATCGTGACGAATCATTTACGGACGAATAATTTGAAACGAAGCACTGGAACAAGGGCTCAACCAACCCGCCAAGTTGACACTTGCGGGGACGTTCAGATGATCCAGCGGCAAGGCTTTCTCAAAGACCGGTGTGTTATCTAGTACAACGGCTGATCTTCCGAGAGATTGCCGTGTAAACACATCAGCGAGTTGAAGCAAAACCCCCCTTGCCAGTTTAAAAATTGTGACCGTTCTCACCTGATCCTCCAACACCGCCCCCCAGCTGTTGAGGACTGAAGCAACATCCGAGTGATCAGGACCGTGAACGTTTTCAAAGATAGCCAACGAGCGCTTGCACAGTGGCTCCGCCTCGGCGTACTTGGCCTGGAATATTGTCGACGGTACGGCAGAGTCGCACTTCAGAAAAAAATCGCATCAACATTAACGGAGGAAAATTTCTCAAAAACTAAAAAAATCCGCATCTTCTCTCGCACAGCCAGCGACTTTTCAGAAAGCGGCTCGGCTTCAAATTGTGATGCACGCCCTACGCACGAAAGTCATTGGTTGGTGACCACACACTTAAAACACGATCAATCACCGAGCGATGATGACCCCAAGAAGATTCTGCGATTAACACTCGACGTACCGCCTGACTTATCACCCGAGTTGTTGAGATCTCCAACATGAACTGCGATAAATCTCCTGAAAAATGTTGGTTCTTAACTATTTACTAGCGCCTTTGGCAACACCGCCCACTCAGTGGTTCATGCGCCGAAAACTCGGGTAGCTCTTACCTGCTCTTTCAACAAACCCGCCTGGTTGTGGAGCGCTAAAGCGAAATCTGGGTGGTCACATCCTAAAACATCCTCACGAGCCGTGACAACCTCCTCCATCAGACGAGAAGCCTTGTCGAAGAACCCCTGTTGCTGATACAGGTCCGCCATACACTCGCGAGACGTGATCGTCCTCGTGTGCTTTGCCCCCAAAGCGGCTTCTTCGATTGCCAGGGCTCTCTCCAACAACCGCTGCGCGTCGGCGTACTTTCCCTGCAGCAAGCATTCGACAACAAATTTCACATGCTCTCAACTACTCCGTCTGTATAACAATGATGAGAGAAACACCAACAGCAGTTCCGACGCGACATGTCTTCACGGGCGCAACAAGCTTCTAGAACATCTGCAAGGTGCTAGCTAGCGAGACCCAGTATAGACCTTAGGAGATTCCAAAGCATCTAGCAGCTTGCAGAGTCAACATCACCCAGGACTGCCAATGAACCTGCACAGCCAAGACCTCACCTGCGTGCTCAACACCCCCGCCAAGTTGCTGAGCGACACGGCAAGATCTGCATGCTCTGGACCCATTGCTTTCTCTCCTATATCGACAGCTCTCACGTACAACAGTTCCGCCTCGCCGTACTTGCCCTGAATCGCAAGGGCAAGGGAACAACAGGATGGTGTGCTCAAGGGTAGAATGGCACCATAAAAAGACACGGTTGCGCAACAACCACGCCCGGATGTTGATCCCGCCCCACGGACTTCTCAAATCCTTTATGCTTCATGTGTTGTCTTGTACAACGGCTTAGCTTTCGCCCTCTGTAGCAAGAGGTTTCCGTGTAAGGGCGTGGCCTACCGATGTATGAAACGACTTGCTTGCATCAACGGGCGCCTGAAAAGTTTCTTCGGGAAAGGACAAGTCTACAAACGCTTACCTTGCTTTCCAACATTCCCGCGAGGTTGTTGAGCGACTGACCTATCCGGGGGTGGCATGCGGGGTACACGCGCTCTTCAATAGCTAGAGCCTTCTGCCTCATCTCTAAGGCCTCATCAAGCTTGGTCTGCGAGAAAAGCAGCAGGTTCACATACGGCAGTTGTCTGTCTCACAATCGAAAATCGGTCTAAATGCCTGTTCCCCACTTCCAATTGTGCGAAGATTGTGGTTATCAGCCTGGGCGCACATGCCCTGGAGGAAGTTATTGACGGCGGGGAAGGGTCATCTGTCGGTCTAAATCGATCTACGAGATCGCGGGAACTTTTCTCACCTACCCCGCCCTGTTGTTGGGCACCAGCAAACATTTGAGTACAAACTTTACGGAATATTTCGGCGGCTCTCACCTGATTTCCCAACAACTCCGCCCGGTTGTTGAGCACTGTAGCCAAACTTGGGTGCTTCGGGCCAAGGGCTTTCTCCGTTATTGCTTGACATCGCTCACTAATACGCTCAGCCTCGGTGTAGTTGCCCTGTAATATAGTTGTGAAGATGTCACAGATATTTCAGTCCAGTCGCCTGTCCAATACCGGAGGAGCATGTCCTCAACAACCTACCCAGTTATTGAGCCCTGTGGGTATTGCTTGGGTGCCCCGGGCCCAGTCGTCCCTAAACTTCCGCAGACCCCACATACAACGGAAGTTGCCCTGGAATCTACTGGCATGTGACGAAACGTTGCAAAGGGAATGTGGTGAGCTTGTGTATGCAAAGGAATAAATGCTCAAGAGCTCCGCCCTGTTGATGACCACTACGTAGTGCGAAGTGAACATATTCGGGCGCCAAGTTTCCAGGAACATTCTGACGGTTCTCACCTGAGCCATCAGTACAACAGCGAGGTTGCCAAGAACTGTAGCGACGTCTGGGTGGTCCGGACCGTAGATCTCCTCGTCGATAGCCAATGAGCTTCTGAATAGTGCCTCAGCCTCGTCGAACTTGTCCTGGGGAGTAAAGAACAACGCGAAAGGAGAGTACCGTAAACGACTGTAAGGCCCTCCTCCCGCATCACCTTATCGGCGTGGACATCGGTTCTCTGAGTCCCCCCCCAGGGGATTGTTCTTTTCGAAAACAAAAGCCCCCCCCCGTAGTCGAGTTCCCCCCGGGTATATTTTTTCGTTAGATCCCCCCCGGGGGGTAGGTGCTTTCACACGCGTTACACGTCAACTTCAGCACCAAGAGCGATTATTTCGGCAGCACGAGTGCATGACTGCTGTGCCGAGTGCATCATTCACATCGACATTGATGGGCGAATCCTGGGAAAGTTGAGTAAACGACCTTCCGCACGCCCCCGCCGCCACCCGGGGGGTACCTGGCGTGGCGATCACACTCATGCAAGGAAGAGAAGCACACGTTTGCGCACGGTAGACCACGAACCGGACGGGTGGTAGAGCTATGAAAGTATTTCCTCCTCGCGGGCTCGACTGCGGCGGCTGCAAGCTTGCTCATGCTTTTCTTCCGTGCATAAGCATGCTGTGCCTACCGCTGCCGCCTTCGCCAGCCGCAAGTGTGCGAGAACACGGCCTCCGAATACTCCCACATCAGCAGTCACGAAGTGGTCAACCGCCGCGCACCATCCCGAGGCCCTCGCCAAAGAACGCCACGTCAGTGGCTGCTAACGCCCCTTAGCACCTACAGCAGTAGTGCTAAGGGGGCAATGGGAGTCCTTTGCGGAAAGCCGTGCCCGAAGCAACTCTCCTGTGCCAACCCAACCCTTTTTGTTTCACCATGTTGCTGTCGTGGATCTTGTTTGGTTTTATAGTTGCACACTGTACGTTATAGTTTTGCACTTCCTTCGTCGGAGACATGTTCGAAGGTAGTCCGTAAAAGAAGGGAATGTTGGCCATTACTCCCGGCGGGCTGGCATTTGTTTTTCTTCAGGTTACAACAAGAAGAACCTGGAAGCTTTGCGTCCAGCACGAGCTAGACTAGATACCTTAGGAGGTGCTACAATGGTACCACCTTAGGAGGCGCTACAATGGTACCACCTTTGTGGGTGGGGGTATCACGATGCACCCACGTTCTATCACATCCCCTTTGCTACGGCAGCGCTCCCTGCTGTCGGTATCCCCCAACAACTGCTACCACGCCCCCTTCTGATCATTCCCCTGCCTGGCAGGGCATGTCAGTAGTTCACAACCACGTTCCACACCCCAACCTCACCCGTTCATTTTCTACCACACGGGAAGTTAGTTCATTTGGCGGATTAAGAATTGGCCCTTGCGACTCATCACCCAGGATACGCTATTTATCATATCCCCTACTGCCATACCATCCCTGTGTTGATAAATCTAAACTAGAACGTTTTTTACTGGGGATCTGATATCCATCGTCACAAACGTTACCTGGTTCTCAAAAACAACGCCCAGGTTAACCCTGGCTGCAGAGGCGCGGAGCAATGCCTGTCTTGGTTTATGGTTGTCTTCCCTCCGATCCCGTAGCTCGTCCTCGACCTCGGAGATTTCCTGGAAAAAAATTTGGGGCATTCACGGTAGACAAGGTGGGTACACATTGAAGCATAAATGTGCCTACACAGAAACAATCAGGGGCAAACACAAGAAAATGCAGCTGCACATCTATAAGCGCTCTATCTACCTGTCTGATGCCCGTCTCGGCCTCATCGAACTGTCCGGCAGCGACCTGCAAGTCCGTCAGGCAGTACCCAGTTCCATGCCAGTCACGCTGAGCTAGGCGGACCATCTCCTCCATAACCTCGCCAGACAGATTTTCGAGCAAGTATTCGGGCTCCACCTCCGTGGATACGTTGAGCTCCCGCGCCCACTTATAAACGGAGTGTTGGCCGTGTTTCAATGTGAAGAACTCGCGGAGCTGCAGCTGAATCTCACAAAGGTGACCGTTTACGACGGGGTTCACCTTTACATCCCGATAACCATTGGGCATCCAGTCGTAGCTGAAGCCATTTTTCACCCTCGGAACATCTTCCTGGAACAACCATAACACACGCGCAGCAGGAAACAAGTTGTACCATGATTTTGTGGTCCTGAAACACGAAAGGGTCAGGCCGCGCTCTCTGTCCCTGATGCACATTGGGCATATGCTTTGCTGTCCAGGGTAGCGAAGGATCAAAAGTTCCGCCGAGCGGGTGGGTACATGCTTGGCGAGTGCTAGATTTGAAAAGTACATAAGATGGTGGGAACATTTGTAGGAGGGTGAATAATATCTCCACCATTTCATAATATTCGTACCTCAAGCGTCATGATTTGTACGGTATGGACGACTGTCAAGGGCAGACGTCACCTGCTACTCTTGGGGAAGGAGAGTTCTTGGAGACAACCCTTTGGCAAAAAGGAGATTGCTCTGAACGGTCGGTAATCTTGGACACTTCGGCCTTCGTAGAATGAGTCGTACTGGGAACGACTTCTTGCGTGTGAAAGTTGCACACGGGGCCGCCAATACTTTATTACTGCCGTTTTTTCTGCTCGTTTGGTCGAACTCTTTGCGTTTGACCACCAGCCTCACGCAGAAGACCGAGCCCTGGTGGGCATGTATCTGTTGACCAACGTTCAAAACAAGTACCTATGGGTCGCGGTTAGGCTTCCGTTTCAAGATGCTACTTTGTTCACCCAGAGAATCGTTTCGAAGGCTTCACGCCTTTACGGGACAGAGTATGCTATGGATTGTGCGCGAGGAGAACGCAGCATTCCTGCAACCGCAAGCGCTTTGTTCTTGGTTGAATATTGTCGTGCGCACTTGCTATGCATGCGGTATGCAGTTTAGCCTAGCAACGAAACACGGCGGCACAGACAGATGTAGTCCATAGTTCAAGGAGCACAAGAGAGGTCTGTGCCTGTTGAGCCCTTGTGAAAAACATGCATTGAGAAAAGAGGCCAAAATTTCTAAGGAAGGAGAATTAGCAACAGCTTTCGAAGGGGCGGGAGTTTCACGGTACGGCTAGGCACGTGCGCACCAAGGAATACTGTCCCTTCAGTTAAGGGAGGACGAACGCAGGGGGAAAAGCTGACCACCGCGAATGATACATGCATAACAAGAGACATCATTTATGCAATACAAACGCGATCGGCATCTCATGACCTTGAGAAAGCATTACGGTAGATTATCACCGATCACTCCAATCTACAACACAACCCTATCACGTCTATCGGAAGATGCCGCATGTAGACGAGACTGGTGAATTTGAAAGGTGCCTCTTCCAGAATTCAGCGGCCGTCTGCATGTCAGCATCTCACTCACCTGTAGAAACCCCCGCATGGCCGAGTACACATCTCTCAAGGCCTGCGGTGTGTCACAGATTACAGCCACCCTAGCCATGTCAGTAACCTTTCGGACGTCTCCACCATAGGACTCGCTGGCCTTCTGCTGTGTTCGTTGCCGTGACTTGACCTCCACGCATTGAACCTCGCACCCCGCCGCGTGCCCCGCTGCTTTCGTCACGAGCTCGTCCAAACGCTGCTTTGCAAGTTTAGCGTCCGCAAGAAAGAAGTCTAACGCCTTCTCAAAAAGTTGATCTTTCGTCACGCAATCCTGTAACTCCAAGACCTTGGGCTGAAGGAGGTTTTTTGACGAATGCGGGACGATCTCGCGAAGACATTCAAGCCCGCCCTCCTTGTTGAGTTCATAGAACCGAGAGTCGTATGCCGCTTGGTACTGAAAAACCGTCTGGGCTTGAAGATACTTGAGCATATTCAACTTGGCGTCAAGACCTACAGACGACGTTGCACTTTCACGTTGGTTTTTCAGCTTCTTCTCCAGACGGAGAAGCGCCCCGATGTCGACGTTCATCTACGACAGCACATGATAAGCGGCACGAAAATGTCGGATCATCATAATAACCCTTTCAAGATTGTACAAAATATTGCCTTTTCAATTTTTTCAGCTCGAAGGACGTTCTACATCCCCGCAGCAGCACACAGCAGCGGGCGTATCGCGTTCTCTCCTCTCCTCTGCCACTGCCTGCCTCTCTCTGGCCATGCATGTGTCTCTCCCTCAACTTCGGTCTGTATCCGCTCCGTAAGACGCCTTCAACCTCTGCGGAGGCCGCACCCCGCTGGGTACAAGTACGGGACGCTGTTTCCACAAAACCTTGAAGATCTCGTTGCTCATTGTAAAATCAAATGAAAGAGAAATAGACGGAGGGAGGGTTTTACTTGAAAAAGGGCCTTGGAGACTACAATGTTGGTAATAACGTCGATCGTGCGGAAAGGAAAACAAGGGAGAATATCAAGTCTGCGAAATATATCAGGGGGATCCCGTACGCGCTTGGGTGATTTTCGGCCCTCCTTCGGGATAAATATTAAACTACCTCACGTAGACCGAAAAAATAAGTTCTGCACCTTCCGCACAACCGCTACCATTTTAGGGCATCCTCCGCTACAATAGACCAGACGAAATCAAGTTCTTTCCGTTTTCGAGTGGAAAAGGATGGATGGCACGCAGCAACGCGCCGTGACTCGAAGTGCGTACATGGAAACTCTGTTTTTTTGAACCAAAAATTCAACTTCAAGTCCCGAAGAACTGATCACACGTGGCTCTTGGCTATCCAGCGCTGTTTTCCAGGGTATGCGTAGACTCTCAGACACCAAGGCAGTCGAAAAAAATAGAGCAGCGACTTGGGCTGTGGTTTCTTGTGAGCGGCTAGTTCTACGGTTTGAGCAGCACCAAACGTTTCTAGTGCGGCGCTTTTTCGATGATATTGAGGAGTATTAAAGTTTGCTCTTCCAGCAGCCGACGCTCGGCGTAGAAACATCTGCTCACAAGGTGCGGACCGCCAATCTTCGTGGATTTGCAAGCTACTGCGTATGACATAAAACGGTAGCGGATAATCGTGCGCAGGGCCGAATTCAGTCTGGGTCCCAACAAAAAAAATTCACAAAGGGGAAAGAGATTTGAAAGTCAGCGTGCCCCAACGTACTCTGCTTTTATCAGGATATTTTAACCCCTCGGGCTGGAAAACACGCGTGCCTTGACCCTATGGAAGATGACAGCACATGCACGGAAGCTTGGAGGGTGACTAATAACCCTCCGCCTTTCAGGGTCACTGACCTTCCGCTGAAAACCAAAAGGTATTCTTTCTCGTTGAGGTTGATTTGGCACCCCCGTTTTCGAGCACAAAGCACCCAGCCCACCACGACGAGCTGTGCACACCCTCGGCGCATGGGAGCCAAGCTAGGCTAAACCTATCAAAACCAAGTACTGACGCAAAGGAGAAGTCCGACCTCGCTCTACAAGTCTAGAACTCAGGTTGCATAACCAGGGGCTGGTCCGTAAAAAATCACATACCTTCCATACCACGAGCACCTGCGCGCCACAAATCAGTTCGTGCAGGCTAGCTCACGCCACGCCTATCTGCACATGACTGTTTACGTCCGGCAACAATCCGCTTTCGATTTCATGATGTGTGGGCCGAGTACTACTGTCGAAGCTGCGCTCTCCAGAAATGCCAGTTGGGGATTTTGGGCGAGACAATTTCATGATACGTTGGCGGTCCTCAATAACGGTGCCCTCAATAGCGGAATGCCCTCTACAGCCTCACCGAAATCGCTTGGCATGAACGCACTTCTCAGTACAAACCCTATTAGGAATAGCGGCACTGCCCTCTTTAGCGGCACCAGAAGATCTTGTCACCACCTTCCGCTATTGAGGACCGCCGACTGTACGCGGAGGTAGACATGTGTTTTTTGTTTCAATGGATGGCCTTGACACAAAAAACTCCCTAAACCCCCGCATTTCAGCACTTTTCACGCCGCAGTTTCGACAGTAGTACTCGGCCCACACATCATGAAATCGAAAACGGATTGTTGCCGGGCGTAGACAGTCATATGCAGATAGGTGTGGTGTGAGCAAGCCTGCACGGACCGATGTGTGGCGCGCAAGCGCTCGTTGTATGGAGGGTATGTGATTTTTTACCGACCAGCCCCTGGTTGAGCAACCATGAGTTCTAGACTTGTAGAGCCTCCTTTGCGTCAGTGCTTGGTTTTGATAGGTTTGGCATGGGTCGACTCTCATATGCCGAGGGTGTGCACAGCTCGCCGTGGTGTGTTGGGTGCTTGGTGTTCGAAAACGGGGGTCCTAAGTCAACCCCGACGAGAAAGAATACCATTTCTTGGTTTTCAGCGGAACGTCGCTTACCCTGCAAGAAAGTCTATCTCCAAGCATGACTAAAAAATGAACGCGGCGGAATTTCAGTCACCCTCCAAGCTTCGCTACAGTAATGTATATAAATATCATTTCGCCTGTTTTTGTGCTTTGGGACATCTTTTGCTGGCGGAAGTCACTCTTTACTCACGCTTCCTTCTCATGGGCACGAAGGGGGACCTTCGGTACATGACCGCGCACGCGCGAGGACCGCCAGCCACCTGTGGCGCGTGTGCTCGACTCTCGAAGTTGTAAAACTGGCTCTGTACCCGAGGACTTATTCCGCGCCACAAAAGCCTTCGCTGGATATACATTTTTTTCATTCATCTGCACAAGGCAAGCATTTTGACATTAGTCTCCTGCGCAAGCCACACACGTTCCCCATACCATGAGTAACGCGGTAAAAAACAAGAGAAGGGAAGAGAGAGCAAGAGCAGCGGGTCACAGCTACAATCTGCGGCAAAAGGCGCCGATTCCCTATCGTATGTGTGCTTGGGACTCACCACTCCAACGGCTACACAGCGGACAACACGGACAATTAGGCCACGACACCGTCGCCAATATATTCCCGATTACCGCCGGGGTATTTCGCAAGAGGAAACAATGTTTTAACCCGGACTGATCATAGAGAATCCGCCCAGAACCTCCGAGCGATGACCGTACAAACACACAAATACCCGCCGAAAAGAATGCAGTTAAGAACAGCGGCAGTCTGCTTGTTACAGCAGTATAATAGTCGGATGTAGGCACAGACACCACGAGCGCACACGAAGAGTCCCACGATGAGAAAAATTGGTTCCACGCAAACTGATGCGAGAGTACGATGCAGTCTGTACCGAAACCAACCGTGGCACTGCCGAAGGTTGAGACTACTACGATGCAAGGATGATAGCAGTAGCCATGCCCTCTTGCGTCGCCCTCGGGAGGCAAGCGCACCGACCTCCCGGAGGGGAGCCTTGTACACATGTGTTGTCATCTTCCATAGCCTTAAGCGACTCTATAGTAGGTGTCCAGATATTATAGTGCCGGTTGAATAGTGCCGGTACCCGGTATGTGCCGGCCAAATCTATGGGCACGAGTTTCCACTTCCATCCCAAAACCTACATATTCCTGTTCTGAGTTGTGCCTGTGTCCGTTATAGTGCCGGTCAAATCTCTGGGCATATACCGGCACTACACCGGGGGGGGGGGGTGTACTCATAGTCGTGCATGCCGTAGTCGTTAGACCATTGACCTCGCATCCCTAC